CCCTGTGTGGGGTGGGGGGTCCTGGGTGTGGGGTCCCCACATCCATGAGGATCCTATGGGGTTGGGGTGTCCCTGATGGTGTCCCCACATCATCCATGAGGTTCCTATGGGGTTGGGGGGGTCGTTGGGCCGGGGGTCCCATGGATTCTTTGCCCCCCCCCACCCCCCCCGCAGCCCCCCGGGGCGCTGTCGCGACTGAGCGCGGACCTGCAGCGATACCAGCGGCACCTGGAATGGCTGCGGAGGGCCGGGCCGGCATTGCGCCCCCTGGAGGCCGAACTGGGAGCGCTGCACGCCAGGCTGGAACGGCTGCTGCGCCGCCTCGACCACCTGGTGGGGAATTGGGGGGGGTTCGCGGGGGGAGGGGGGGTCCTGGGGGTCTTGGGGGGAAGCTGGGGGGGTCTCTGGGGGGGAGTAGAGTGGGGCTGAGGGCAATGGGGGGCTTTGGGGAGGTGGGGGGCAGTGGGGCAGATTGAGCTGGGAGGGGGCGGGGCTTAAAAAGGGGCGGGGTTTATGGGGCTGGGGGCGGAGCGTGTGGAAAAGCTGGGAGAAGGGGGCGGGGCGAGTGTATGGGGGCGGGGCTATGGAAGGGGGCGGGGCTTTGCGGCTGTCGGTGCTAAACAAGGGGCGTGGTTATGGAAATGGGGCGGGGCTTTGTGCTGGGCGCTGCTATGGAAGGGGGCGGGGCTACGTGAAGGGGGCGGGGCTCTGTGCGTGTCTATGCTAAAGAAGGGGCGTGGCTATGGAAGCGGGCGGGGCTTTTGTGGGCGTTTATGCTGTAGGAAGGGGCGTGGCTTGGGGATGTGAATGAATGGGAGGCGTGGCTTCACGTCGCAGCGCTGTTAAAAGGAGGCGTGGCCTCGCACACAAAGGGGCGGGGCTACGCGCGGTGGGCGGGGCCAAGCATTAACCCCGCCCCCCCGCCGCCCTTTCCAGCTGTCCCGGCTGAGCCTGAGCCGCCCCAACGACCCCCACCCGCCTCTGCCCCCCCCCGGATCGCCATGGGCGGCCGTGCAGGCGGCGCACGCGGTGCTCCGAGGGCTGCACCTCCATTTGGACTGGGCTTCCCGTGCCCTCGTGCTGCTCCGGAACCGCCTCTGACCCCTGGGGTCACGTGACGGTGGGCACGGCGCGGTCACGTGACACGGCGCGGTCACGTGATGCCGGAAACGCGTGGCCCCGGCCCCGNNNNCCCCCCCCCCCCCCCCCCCCCCCCCCCCCCCGAGGCTTTATTTATGCTCTATTATTTATTATTATTATTTATTAATCGCGTCGGGTTCTGTCGTTGTATCACCGCCCTTTATTTTATTATCCTTAATTTTATTATTATTTTATTTGTTATTATTATTTTATTATTATTATTATTATTGTTATTTTATTATTATTGTTATTTTAACCCCCCCCTT